TTCCCTAATTCGTATCTTCCATAGTTGTTTCCCTAATTCGTATCTTCCACAAAGGGACACATCCAAACTCTCACAGCCATTCAATGTGTATCCACACTTGGACTTGCTACACACACTCTATCCACCACTCTCTGGAAACTGTAGTTCAATTGCAGGCAAATTTCTTTTTATTTCTAAAGCTAAATTTCTTGACTTTCTAACCTATTTTCCTTATAGAAATACGGCAGCTTGTCTCTAACACATCTGCTTCACATACCCTGGGCAAGGAAAAAAATGGTTCTATGCACAGGTGGAAACAGAGCCACACCACTAAAAGCCTTTAACTAGGTGGAAAGCAAATATGCTGGAATGAGGAATGTCGTGAGGAAGGTGAATAGAAAGTTGAGGAGTGAATGTCTCTATAATGTCATTATGGCAATCAGAGAAGAAAAAGAAATAAAAGGAATACAAGTTGGAAAAGAAGAAGTAAAAGTGTCACTGTTTGCAGATGACATGATACTATACATAGAGAATCCTAAAGATGCCACCAGAACACTACTAGAGCTAATCAATGAATTTGGTAAAGTTGCAGGATACAAAATTAATGCACAGAAATCCCTTGCATTCCTATACACTACTGATGAAAAATCTGAAAGAGAATTTAAGGAAATACTCCCATTTACCATTGCAACAAAAAGAATAAAATACCTAGGAATAAACCTACCTAGGGAGACAAAAGACCTGTATGCAGAAAACTATAAGACACTGATGAAAGAAATTAAAGATGATACCAACAGATGGAGAGATATACCATGTTCTTGGATTGGAAGAATCAATATTGTGAAAATGACTACACTACCCAAAGCAATCTACAGATTCAATGCAATCCCTATCAAATTACCAATGGCATTTTGTACAGAACTGAAACAAAAAATCTTAAAATTTGTATGGAGACACAAAAGACCCCAAATAGCCAAAGCGGTCTTGAGGGAAAAAAACGGAGCTGGAGGAATCAGGCTCCCTGACTTCAGACTATACTACAAAGCTACAGTAATTAAGACAATATGGTACTGGCACAAAAACATAAACATAGATCAATGGATAGATAGAAAGATAGAAAGCCCAGAGATAAACCCACACACCTATGGTCAACTAATCTATGACAAAGGAGGCAAAGATATACAATGGAGAAAAGACAGCCTCTTCAATAAGTGGTGCTGGGAAACCTGGACAGCTACATGTAAAAGAATGAAATTAGAACACTCCCTAACACCATACACAAAAATAAACTCAAAAGGGATTCGAGACCTAAATGTAAGACCGGACACTATAAAACTCTTAGAGGAAAACATAGGAAGAACACTCTTTGACATAAATCACAGCAAAATCTTTTTTGATCCACCTCCTACAGTAATGGAAATAAAAACAAAAATAAACAAATGGGAACTAATGAAACTTCAAAGCTTTTGCACAGCAAAGGAAACCATAAACAAGACGAAAAGACAACCCTCAGAATGGGAGAAAATATTTGCAAACGAATCAGTGGACAAAGGATTAATCTCTAAAATATATAAACAGCTCATGCAGCTCAATATTAAAGAAACAAACAACCCAATCCAAAAATGGGCAGAAGACCTAAATAGACATTTCTCCAAAGACATACAGATGGCCAAGAAGCACATGAAAAGCTGCTCAACGTCACTAATTATTAGAGAAATGCAAATCAAAACTGCAATGAGGTATCACCTCACACCAGTTAGAATGGGCATCATCAGAAAATCTACAAACAATAAATGCTGGAGAGGGTGTGGAGAAAAGGGAACCCTCTTGCACTGTTGGTGGGACCGTAAATTGATACAGCCACTATGGAGAACAGTATGGAGGTTCCTTAAAAAACTAAAAATAGAATTACCATATGATCCAGCAATCCCACTATTGGGCATATACCGAGAGAAAACCATAATTCAAAAAGACACAGGCACCTCAATATTCATTGCAGCAATATTTACAATAGCCATGTCATGGAAACAACCTAAATGCCCATCATCAGATGAATGGATAAAGAAGATGTGGTACATATATACAATGGAATATTACTCAGCCATAAAAAGGAACGAAACTGGGTCATTTGTAGAGACGTGGATGGATCTAGAGACTGTCATACAGAGTGAAGTAAGTCAGAAAGAGAAAAACAAATATCGTATATTAACGTATATATGTGGAACCTAGAAAAATGGTACAGATGAACCGGTTTGCAGGGCAGAAATTGAGACACAGATGTAGAGAAAAAATGTATGGCCACCAAGGGGGGAAAGCGGTGGGGGGTGGTGGTGTGATGAACTGGGCAATTGGGATTGACATGTATACACTGATGTGTATAAAATTGATGACTAATAAGGACCTGCTGTATACAAAAATAAATAATATAAAATTCAAAAATTAAAAAAATAAATAAAGTGATTGCCCTCTTCCTTCACTGTGTTTATAAGTAGCTTATAAAATTTACAGGGAGGGAATTCCCTGGCAGTCCAGTGGTTAGGACTCAAAGCTTTCACTGCCAAGGGCGTGGGTTCAATCCCTGGTTAGGGAACTAAGGTCCTGCAAGCTGCGCCACGCAGGGAAAAAAGAAAAAAAGAAAAAATTTACAAGGAGTTTAATATACAGGAGAAGCATTCAGATATAGAGCACATTTGATATTTACTTTCACATAATCTCACAAAGTGTCCAATTTTGTGTTGTGTGATTGTATGGTATTGCTTTCATCTCATTCAGACTCAGATTCAGGCTACCGAAAACTCCCCTCAAAAGTCCATGTAAGCCACTGTCAAACCTCCTCATACTGTTTTTTTTTTTAAACTTCTTTAATGATGCACTATCCATCCAATGGTCAGCCTACCATCCAACAAACACCAGCCTCCCAAATATTCCCTGAATCTGCCTCCATCCTCTCCCCGCTGTGCACTAGTTCAGACCTCCATCAGTTGCAGCCTGGAACCTTGAAATAGCTTCAGAGCTGGTCACCCTACCTTCAGTTTGGTCTCCACTCAAACCTATCTTTCACATTGCCATCAGAATTTTGTCTGAATTGCTGATATGCTTGAGCCAGTCGCTCAAGACCCTGCTTAAAATTTTAGTTCACAGCCTTTTACTTGGCCTGCCAAATCTTTCAAAACTAGATCCCTGCTTACTTCTTCACCCTCATCCTCAGCCACTCATGTTTTGACATCCTTCAATCCAACAAATGTAAACTTTCTGCTCTGGTCCCTCAGTCTGAAATGTATCAACACTCAGCTCTCCCCAACACCTCCCTTTCTTTGTGCTTTTGTAGCATCCTGTAGGTAGCTCCATCAGAACATCTGCCACTTTGTTTGGAATAGTCAGTTTATATACTCTTCTCCTTAAGTAGTCTATCAGTTCCTAAAGAGCAAGAATATGTATCTCAGGACTTCCCTGGTGGCCCAGTGGTTAAGAATCCACCTTCCAATACAGGGGACGTGGGTTCGATCTCTGGTCAGGGAACTAAGATCCCACACGCCACGGGGCAACTAACCCGGAGCACCACAACTACTGAGCCCGCATACTCTGGAGCCTGCGAGCCACAACTAGAGAGAAGCCTGCATGATGCAACGAAGATCCCGCATGCCTGCAACTAAGACTAACAACTAAGACGCAGCCAAAAAAAAAAAAAAAAAAAAAAAAGAATCTGTATCTCAGATCTGAATTCCCAGTGTTTACCATGCATCTGGTATACAGCTAGATGATTGCTCTACTAGGAGCTTGTTCCTGTTAATTGCTTTCCACCCAAACATTAAAAAAATAAAAACAAACAAACAAAAGCCTACCCTTTATCATGCTTACTGTGAACTATTTATTACAACCAATCTTTTACATTTGCTCCCTTTATTTTTTCTTTTCTTTTTTTTGGCTGCGTTGGGTCTTCGTTGCTGTACGCGCACTTTCTCTAGTTGCGGCGATCAGGCGCTACTCTTCATTGCGGTGCGCAGGCTTCTCACTGTGGTGGTTTCTCTTGTTGTGGAGCTCTAGGAGCACAGGCTTCAGTAGTTGTGGCACACAGGCTCAGTAGTTGTGGCTCGCGGGCTCTAGAGCGCAGGCTCAGTAGTGTGGCGCACGGGCTTAGTTGCTCCGTGGCACGTGGGATCTTCCTGGACCAGGGCTCAAACCCATGTCCCCTGCATTGGCAGGCAGATTCTTAACCACTGCGCCACCAGGGAAGCCCAGAAGCCTCCCTTTCTTAAAAGAAACTTTAGGTTCTTGGGTCCAGCTATTTGGTAGAATCCTAGCTGATGTACTCACCTCTGACTTCCTGCCAAATCACATGGCTTTTCACAGTTGCTTATTCTCCTTGCAGCTTTTGACTGCTGTCCATTTTCTCCTTAAACCACCTTCTATGACTTCACACCACTGCCAAGATTGCCCTTGAGGATCTGTTTCAGATTCCTCATTGCCTTGAGTCATTTAACCTACCCACCATCACCATAAATACATTCCCTTGTACACTTTTGGGTTGCCTTGCTATATGTGTTAGCAATTAACTCAACAAAAAATCTTATCCCATGAAATACCGCTGTAGAAGCAAGAATTTCTTTAAAAAAATAAATTCTTCAAATTTAATACCATTGTAGGTTAATTAAGATGCAAGTTTCTCCACTAATCCCCTAGGTCTGGCATAGACTGAGCAAACCAGCCTTTTCTCTCATCACTTCAGACTCCATTACTAATATACCTTTCTTTTTTATTTGTTTGCTCATACCAAAAGGGTTTTTTTCTTCTTATTGTCATTTATTAATTTTCAAGCATTGCTGTCCTCTCCCTGATTCCCTACTTCCCTCTATATTTCCAAGAGTCCCTAGGGAAAGTGGGTGGAGGAGGGAGCTAATATGTGGGGCTGTGGCCTTGTAGCTCAGTTAGCCTCAAATTTATTTTTAAATTTACTCAAGATTATCTGAGGACATATATATGTATATATTAGTGCCAAAATATGTGCGTGCGCGGGTTCACACCTTTTCAAGGGCCATTAGGTTCTCGTGAAAACATGGGGTGAGGATGGGAGGGTCAAACACATTTCTTACGACGATACTTGGAGCGTAGCCAGCCTCAGGAGCGCAGATGGTATTACAGAAAGTTGTGCGTAGCGGTGGAAAGCCCGGGAATCTCCTCCGTGACCTTGGCCAAGTCACTGAAACTTTGGGTTTATTCCCTGTAAAATGGGGATAACCGTACTGGGTTATCGAAAGAGTAAACGAAATAATGTAAGTAAAAGTACTCTGAGAAAAATAATGCTGGTTTCTTTGAACGGGGATCCCAAGCAGCTGGATTCCCATCCGTCGGTATTTCGCTCTTCCCCGCAGTCCAAGAGCTACCTCTCTGGAAGCCTGAGGCGCGGGCTTCGGCTCGTCTCCATGGCAACGTCTCCGGCATCCCGAGCCCCGCCCCTCCCCCCCCGCCGCGAGGACCGGAAGCAGCGTCCTGTTGGGCGCTTCCCCGGCTTCTCCCCCAAAACGCGGGGTCATCCTTCCTAGGCCGGAGGTGAGAGTTGAGGTCTCTTCGCTCTGCTAGGCCTCTGGGAGAAGCGACCGGCACCCGGGGGGATGGGGAAGGGATGGCCGCCGGCCTGGGGCCACCTCACGGGAGCCCCACCACCACTCCTAGCACGCGCCCGCGCACCCCCTCTTCATACCCCTCCCCGCCCCCACCCCGGCTACCTCTTCCTCACGCCCCCGGCGCTTCCCCGCGGCCTCCACCTCGTCGCCGCACCTCCTGGCCTCTTACAGCGCGTGCGTGCACCCCCCTCTCCTTGTCCGGGTACCCCGTGGCGCCTGACCCCCGCCCCGCAAGCCGACCTCCTCCCATCACCCTCCGCGCGCTTACCTGACCTCCCGCGCACCCTCCCCCCGCGCCCATTCTCCTCGTGTGGTCTCGCGGAGTCGGGTCTCCGTCCGGGAGCGGCGCCGTGTGGTGGAGGAAGGTGTCCCGGGACCGTCGGGAGCAGGCTCAGCAGAGGAGGTATTTCCAAGGGAGAGTTGGTCCCCTCGGGGAAGACCCCCGGATCTGGGACTCTGGGCGAAACCTCCCCTCCAGGGACCGGGTTCGTTACGGACCCTCGCGCGTTGTTGGGGGTTTGGTCTCTTGGGTGGAACTGAGAGCAATTGTGGACCCGGCACAGACTCCGCTCCTGGTGCGGGAGACGCAAAGTGCGTCCCGGTGGCCACTCCTGCGACTTCCAGAGGATGCTTTAGCTTAGGGGCTCTCTGTGTAACTCCCCTAGACGGCTCCAGACACGTGGCCTCAAACCCCACCTGTCGCTCCGGTCTCGATCCCAGATTCGGTTCCGGCTCAGGATCATATGGGTCTGCTGCCCTTCTTTGCGCTGGGACCCCAGCCACCGGCTCTGGACCGCGCAGCACCGTAGAAGGTGTGGATGGCCTGAACTCAGACCCCAGCCCTGCTCCTTTTGCCTTTGGTCTCGTTACCTGAGCTTGCCCTGGCGGGTTCCTCAACGTGGGGATGAAAAGAACCTTACAGGGCTTTTGTGGGGGTTTAAATGAGTTTATATTTATTAAGATCCCTAAACGAGTGCTTAGCACATAGTAAATTTTCTGCGTTTCAGTTGTGGAGCACTGTATAAAGTTGTGTCATTTATTTGGTAACCTTGTCTTTCCCGGGCTAGAATATAAGCTTTATGCAGCCGCAGGCTTTGTTCGGGTCACCGCCATATCTTCAGTGCCTAGAAGAGTTCTCGGTGAAGTGGGGAAAAAAATGGTAGAGAGGAAAAATAGGGGCACATATAACAGTTTAAATTAGCTGTCAGTTACTAGTGATACATATACTAAAATGCTACTAAGGAAAGTGTCTTCCCATCCCCTTCCTGCTAACAAGCTAGCAATACTTGGAGAAATTGTTGCCCCCATACATCACTATGTTGCTGGTGACACTGTGATTTGATACAGCGTTTTCTATAATCTGTTTGATAATACACAGCAAGATATTTGTCCCTTTTCCTTTGACCCCAGTAAGTCAAGTCCTTGGGACATCTTTGAAGGAAATAATTTGAAAGGAGAAAAATAGTATATTTTCTGAAAATGTGCTTCCCAGCATTGTTTATAATAGTAAAAATTAGAAACAGCCTAAATATTCTACAGTAAAAAGATAATTAAGTAAATAATATGGATGTCACAGATGAGCAGTAGACATGGACATGAAAAAATGGAAATACATTAAGATGGAGGAATATGCTTTTTTCTTTTGAATGGTCCCTTTAATGCCAAAGTAATATTGTTTTAAAAATTAGTAAGCATCGAAAAAAAAATCTATGCAAAAGTACTTCTCTCGTGAGACTATTCCTTAGAGCTCCTTGCAGCAGTCTAGAAAAAATTAACTGGCTCTTCGAGGCTGACCCAGAGTCATAACTTTCTCAGCCTTCCCTTATTTCTGTTCTCCAGGAGCTCCTCTGCAACCCTGGCTGAACTCTTATTGTGATATTTAGTCAGCCTCACGTGCATGATTTTCAGAATAGATTGCGAATTACTCATGTATATAAATTAATGCCTCTGAGCTCTTTGATTCTCTTAGAGAAGGAAGTGTTCTTTGAAAGCATGGTTTATGTTAAGATTAAGGGCAGCACTTTCTGTACAGTCTTATGTTTCTAATCTTAGTTGTATCGTTCTAAGAAGCATTTGTCTCTGCCTTGTTTCCACTTGTCTCTTTAATCATATTTAGGAGTGTCCATAAGGAGAGTTTCACCTTCTTGAAGATTAAAGCCTAGCAGTTCTGAGCTATTCCTAGTCCAAATGTCTGCCAAATTGAGAGAGACATCAAAACTCCTTCCACAAACTTCAGGGGACCCTGACTGCATTCTGGTAATGAAGGTGGAAGAGGGAGGGCAGGCCTCTAATATGGTCTCCAGCCGCCACTGGAGCAGCTACTACAGCTCAGAGACCTACCGCCAGCGGTTCAGGCAGTTTGACTACCAAGAGTCATCTGGGCCCCGGGAGGCTCTGAGCCGGCTCCGCGAGCTGTGCTGTCAGTGGCTGAGGCCAGAGGTGCACAGCAAGGAGCAGATCCTGGAGCTGCTCGTGCTGGAGCAGTTCCTGGCCATGTTGCCTGAGGAGCTGCAGGCCTGGTTTGAAGAGAACCGACCAGAGAGTGGAGAGGAAGCCGTGGTGATGCTGGAGGAGCTGGAGAAAGAGCATGACAGGGCGGCTGAACAGGTGAGAAGGGACTGTGGGCATGAGGGACAAGGCTGAGTCAGGAGCTCTGGCACATCACTGGGGTTAGAGCTCCCAAATTGTACTCCCACTCAGCACAACTAAATGTAGAGTGTGGTGAGTGGACTCCCAGCTGTGCCAGAAAACAGAACGCGCCTCTGCCTTTTTCCTCCCTTTTCCTGTGTCCCAGGATAGTTTCTTCTCTGTTATTTTATCTTCAAGTCCCAACCTGATTCCCTTCTTCAGCCTCAGTTAGTACCAAACTGTTTCTAGGTCTCTCTTGGACGAAATGAGGACATGCTTGCAAAGAAGCTATCAACTTGTGAAATCACTCAGGAGACACCATGTAGCCAGCTTAAGCCCACAAAAAAGCAACTGCAGTGGGCGTCGAAGGAGCATCACACCTTAAGACAAAATGGTGAGGGGCAGGGTTCAGTTCATGGTTGGGGGGTGGGAAGGTGGCCTCTCAGCCCACCCATCACACACACCTAGGCTGCTTTCTGTAAGAGGTCTCCAATCTCCCCTCCTGCCTCCTGTTCCTGTGGGAACTTCCACCATTATATATCCTGCCAGTGCACATTCTCAGTATTTTGTCCTCATTTCCTTCTCAGAGATTCTTATAATATTGTTCAGATTTTTGAATCCTTGACATCATCTCCATCCGGATTTTCAAACCTTTTTTTAAGCAGCATGGCCCTCTTCTCAATGAAATTTTATGCGGAGTTGCAATATATTAAACAGATGAAAACACAGCTACTCTGACTAAAGCAGGAACAAGCAGTGTCAGCCCACCTCTTCCGCCATCAGGCAGTCCCTGAGGCCCTTTTGAGGGACCCCAAGGTCACGGTCTAAAGACTGATTCATTTATTTTTATAACTTTTGTTTATTGATACTCTTGTACTAAATCTTGCTTATTGCTACCCACTACCACATTTAATTCCTCTCCTTCAGTTGCTCCTCTGCTTCTCCAATAATTCCTCATCTTTTAGGCCCTTTCTTTTCTTCCAGACTTTCCTCAGTTTCTAATGTATCTTTTTACCCCTACCCACCATTCTACCTTTTGCACAGAGCTTTTCATCTTTTTTTTTTAGAGCTTTTCATCTTTATAGTTGCCCACCTCATCAGTATATAAACCTCTTTCACCTTTTGATCTTCTCAGTGTTTTCTGCCTTACCCTCTCCATCCTCCACATTGTGATGCTATATTTCAAACATGCCAGCTAAAAAATAGTCTATATATATTTCATTTGGATCATTCTATTTCGTTTTCCTTCCTTCTGAACAGAGAACTGGTTACATTTGCTTTTCCATGTATTATTTCAGATAGAGACACCGGAACTATAAATGTGAAATCAGCTTCAAGGCGAAAGACTTCTTCAGGCAAAGAACTGCATCACAAAGTTTCTAACACTCTTCAAATGAATGCTTCCCAGAGTTTCACATTTAGAGGAACCTGTGAACAAGATAGAAAGTTTGAAAGAAAACAGGGAAACCGTACTCGAAAAAAACAACACAAGTGTAATGAATGTGGGAAAGTCTTTACTCAGAGCTCAGCCCTTAATCTACATCAGAGGATCCACAGTGGAGAGAAACCTTATACATGTGACGTGTGTGCAAAGGCTTTCAGCCGAAGTGCAATCCTGATTCAACATCGAAGAACCCACACTGGGGAGAAACCCTTCAAATGTCATGAATGTGGGAAAGCCTTTAGTCAGAGCTCGAATCTTTTCAGACATAGGAAAAAACATACTAGAGAGAAAGTCCCATCAGTGCTGTGAGGGAGTCAAAACATTTACTGAGAACTTTTTCAACAGGGGAGCAGACACAAGGCACCAATACTCCTTTAGCATAAATCGGTAGTTTCAGTGGGCACCAATTTCCTTTCAAAGGTTGTAAAAGCCACAGGAGAGAATGTAGAATATTTTCTGTCAGCATTGTTTGCTTTTCTGTACAGTGTCAGTTCAGATGATTGAGATTCTAAAGCTTAAATCTGATTTCCATCCCTAGTGCAACTCTTGAAAAGATACTCTCAGACATGTTCTACTGTTTCCATTATTAACACAAATAATGAACTAGTATGTTCCTTTTTAGACAAGTACATTTTCCCTGTTGAGAAGGAGTGTGTGAATTAGTATATAAGTGGGTATTCTCCATTTCATTACTTGCACATTGGAGTTACTAGACCAAAGATTAAATCAGTTTTTTAAAAAAATTTCCTGGAAATTCTCTGGCAGTCCAGTGGTTAGGACTCCACACTTTGACTGCTGCAGGCCTGGATTCAGCCCCTGATCAGGGAACTAATATCCTCCAAGTCACGTGGTGTGGCCAAAAATAATAATAATAAAATATAATAAATTTCCTGTTTTATTTTCTGTTACCAGATTCAAAATATGAGAATAGGATTGAGGAGACCCAAAAGAATATGTACCTCAAGACCTAAGCTGAAATGTCCAGGGTCATTGTTAGGAAGCAGGTGAGTAAAGGGACTTTACTCGTCTCTTACAAAAACCTGAGAACCTACATACTGTTTTGTTTCAATTTTTAAAATTGAGGTTTAGTTGATGTATAATATCATCTATACATA